TTCCTTTTTTTTTTTTTTTGGTGATTCTGAGGATCAAACCTAGGGCACTGTGGAAACAAGGCAAGCACTTTACCAACTGAGTTATATCCCCAGCCTGACGGAAACCCTCAGTTTTAGAGTAAAAACTAATGTCCTTAGAGTGATCCACAAGGTCCTCCATGATCTGGCTTCTCCTACCTCTCTGATTTCCTATCTTATCCAGATCTCTCTTGCTCACTGAGCTCCTGCTCCTCATCCTGCTCTTCTAATTAGGCTCTCCCTGACCATCTCATTAAAACTCCTCCTTCTCTCTTCCTCTCATCATTCCCAAACCCCTTCACATATCTTTTTTTTCTTTCATAGCACTTCTAACATTTATAATTTATTTATAATGACTATTGATTTCTATCTTCGTGTGTGTGTGTGTGTGTGTGTGTGTGTGTGTGTAAAATCTACAATGAGGAGAAGAAGCTCTATTTTGTTCAGTGACAGACCTAGCACACAGAAGGTGCTCAAATATTTGTTCAATGACTAAATATATTATAAATAAGCCTAAAATAACAAATATAGGTGGTATTTATTTTCTCACCATTTTATTTTATTTTAATTAAAATTTTGTTTTTGAGACATGGTCTTGCTAAGTTGTTTAGGGCTTTGTTAAGTTGCTGAGGCTGGCCTCAAACTTGTGATCTTCCTGCCTCAGCTTTCAAGTCACTGGGATGACAGGTGTGCACTACCATGCCCAGCTGTATCTCAGCATTTTAATCTTTGAACTCATGGTGTAATTATTTTTTTTACATTTTTTTCTTACAGGACATGATAGTATATTCATGTTCATGCAACATTTAACAATTAAGCTCAAATCAGCAAACCTCAGAATAATCAAGTAACCACTAATGCTGTCTGTTGATGGGAAGGGACAGTTGATGTGTTTTGCATTGACCCACAACTTTATATGCCAATGCTGAAATTATAATATAAATAGAAGTTACTATTTCTTTGAAGCAACCGTGTCTTTGGTGGTGTGTATGAGAAGAACAGGATGCAGGACTTAAAGCAACAGTCTGACCTCAGGCCTGCATGTCTTGGTGAAGTACTGAACAGAGGGTCACATCAGGCAGATGGTGATAAGTGCCTAAGAATGACAATGRTGATGTGACTTTTCTCAGTGACACCAAATGCTCCATCCTCGTATGAGAATGATGATTTAGTTTTAGTTGTCTTCACATCTCTGAAGTGCTGCTCACCTTGAAAATCAGCTATTTACTACCTGTGTTCTTTGACTCTATAACATATCATTGGGTTGAATTTTAATTGTTAAGCTTTAAACCTGCATAATTCTCTATCAAGTAGATCATAGAATCATATGTTGAAATCTGTGATATAGTGTTAATTAGCTTGTTTTTTTAATGGCTTCATATTATCTTTAATGAGGACCTTAATGCAAATTATTCATGAGGAAGTACATTATTACTGGGTTTTTAATTTATTTTACATATATTTATTTCATAAATATATAGTTTTTTGTTATTTTTTATTTAATTTTTTATTAGTTGCTCAAAATGTTACAATGATCTTGACATATCATACATTTGATTCAAATGGGGTACGTAATCTTATTTTTCCACATGTATAGATTGCAGGACCACATTGGTTATACAACCACGTTTATACATAGGGCCATACTAGTGTCTATTGTATTCTGCTGCCCTTCCTTCCCCTCCCTCCCCTCCCCACTCCTCCCATCACCTCTTTCTACACAATCTACTGTGACACGTTTCTCTCTCTTTTTTCTTCCCCCTCACACCATCTTATATGTAATTTTGCATAACAATGAGAGTCTCCTACCATCTTCCATGCAATTCCCCTTCTCTCTC